TTACAGTGCAATAGACTAACCTAAAATACAACTTTCTCTGACAAAACACCAGAAATTTTAATTTAAATTCAGGTGCTTCTTCCTTACCCAGGTAATGCTCTGGACAGGATATCATCATTATAATATCGATGTGCGTAGAGGAGCTGAGCAATTTAGAGGGATTAATTAGAAATCATTTTGAATATTAAGAATTTTTTTTAAAGTTAGCTTTTCTGGGCTGGTGAGATGGCTCAGTGGTCTAAAGCACCTACTTAGAACAAACTTAGCAAAGCATCAGGGACTGCGGTTCAATCCCCTAGCACCACATGCCAGCCAGCCCCGCCCCCTGGTGGGCTGAGCTGGCCACACACATAAATAAATAAATTTTAAAAAAATAAAATAAAGTTAGCTTTTCTTAGTTGAATATTGCTGTGCTTTATAGTTTTCTATAAACCCGATGAAAAAGTTATATTTCAGAACACGAGAGTGTATAAGTGCCAACCCTCACACCGCCAACGATGGGTGGTGTTGCTTGAGGACTTACTCTGTAGCAAGCACCAAAATGCTTGTAAGCATTAACTGACTTAAGTCTTACAATAATTACATGGAACAGACACTATTGTCTTTTATAAAAGGGAACTAAGGCACAGAAAGTTAATTTCCCTAGTACCACCCATCTAGAGTAAGGGTTAAGGTGTTTTCAACTTTGTTTGTCAGAAACTGCTAACAATGGGTGAAATTATTATTATTTTTTTTCTTGGTGGTACTGCAGATCAAACTCAGGACCTTGCACTTGCCAAGCATGTGCTTATGCCACTGAGCTATCTCCTCAGCCCTGGGTGTAATTATTATATGACATCAGAGGAACACAGAAATGTAATGGGTTCCACAAGCTGGTTGAGTCAATAGTCAAATAAAGTCATCGGTCAAATTTATTTTGTCCCTTCTTTTTTTGAAAGCTTGTCATCTAGATATTGGCACAGACTTCTATCTGATCCCTTTGTGGTCGCAAGAGGACTGTGAGATGTTTTGGTATTACACTGACCCTTGGCCGTACCCAGAGTCAATGTGGTAAACTCTCTCTGGTGCCTGCTATATAGGAGTCTAAAAAGGCTCTCTTAAAATCTCTCAGCAGTCTTTTCTTAATATCTCCTCCTCCAAATCAGATTCTACACTCACCCCTGATCATTCATTGCCAAGAAGAATAGGATTTGGGTGATGGCCTTCGGATCTATTCCTGGCACTGGGGTTATAGTTCACCTCCCCTGAGGCTCTGGATGACACGTCAAAGACTGCAGCTGTCAAGAAGGAGTACCCCTGTCAGGGTCTGCTCCAGCTGTTTAGTGAAGGAAGGAGAGAAGTACAGGCACTCTGTCTTTGTAGCCTGTGTTGGAGTCTGACTATTCTCTTTGAGCTTTCCTGTTTTTTTAAGCTAACATTTTAGAAATGGAGATCTGTAGTAAGTTTGATCTAACTGATGGCAAGGGAGTATCCGTAATATTGGCGTTTTCATTGCTGCATTTCTCAGATGACTGTCAGTAGGGGTCATGGCAGGAGTTTTCCAAGATTGCATCCTATTCAGATGTTCTGGAGAGAGAATTTAACAAACACAAGCTGATATGGTAAAGAAACAGGTCTCAAATCACTTGGTTTCAGGACTTCTTGATAGCCATAAAATTATTGGCAACTTCAAAGAACTTTAGTTCATATTATTCATATCTCCTGACAGTTGCTATACTCAAAATTTAAAAGAAGTCAAATACATAATCATATCATACAATATAATAATAAAACAATTATGTACTAATATAAATTAAATCAACAACTAATTAGCTTCACATAATGATAAAGCAATTGTGTATTAACCTAAAAACATAAGAAGATACAGACACAACTACAAACACACAGCCACCTTATCTTTCATGAAGGGGCCAAACATGTTAACTGGAAGAGAGATAGCCTCTTTAATAAATGGTGATGGAAAAACTGGCTATCCACATGCTGAAGACTAAAACCAGACTTATGTCTATCACTATGCACTAAAGTCAAAATGGATCAAAGATCTAAATATTAAAACAAAAATACTAAACATACTGAAGGAGAAAGTAGGTAGATATCTTGAAGATGGGGCTAGGTAGAGAGTTGATGAACAAAAACCGAACTGCATGAGAAATACTTCAAAGAATGAACAACTAGGTTCTCATCTTACTGAAAAGATTTTGCATGTCAAAAGAAATCACCAACAGAATGAAAAGAAAACCCACCAATTGGGAAAAAATTTAGCTCACTATCCCTCAGACAAAGGCCTTCAATCTAGAACATATAAAATTTTTTTAAAACTCAGGCCCCTAAAATTCAAAGACCCAGTCAAAAAAATGGACATGTGAGATGAATACACAGTTCTCAGATAATGAAATACAAATGACAAAAAGATAAACAAAGAAATGTTCAACATCATTGGTCATTTAAGAAATGCAAATTAAAACAACACTGAGATTCCATCTCCAGAAAGAATGGCTATCATGAAGAAATCAACCAATAACCAACACTAGAGGGGCTGTGGAGGGAAAAGGAATCTTTCTCTACTTTTGGTGAGAGTACAGACTGGTGCAACCACTACAGAAATCAGTTTGGAGATTTCTCAAAATACTAGGATTAGAAATCCCATTTGGGAGGCTGAGACAGGAGGATCACTACAAGTTCAAGCTGCATAGTGAGACCTTGTACCAAATACATAAAAAAATAAAAAATAAGAAATTCCATTTGGGATTTCCTGGATATTTTCCCAGAGGAACAGAAACATCATACCACAGCAGTTAATGTGTACCCATGTTCATAGCAGCACAATGCGTCATCGCTAAATCTTGGAAACAACCCAAATGCCTATCAGTTGAGGAATAGATAAAAAAGACGTGGTATTTTTATACAATGGAGTATTGCTCAGCAATAAAGAAAGACAAGCTTGAGGCTTTTATAGGTGCATGGATGTAACTAGAGACCATACTCACAAGTGAAATAAGTCAGACCTGCATGTGTAAACATCGCATGGTCTTCCTAGTGTAAGAACCTGATGGAGTAAATAAAACAGGCACAATATATACTCTGAAGGGAGAAAGCAACTATTCAAATGGAAGGAACAACAGGGAGGAGGGAAAGGAGAAAAGAAAGAAGAAAGAGGAAAAAAAATGTATATACACAGGATAGCTTGGATAACTGTACTGCTGATTTCTACTGGTCTATTGAAAGGAACAGTTAATGCTTGCATTTTGGGGTTTTTTAATTTTTTTTTTATCATTTTTGGGACCACTTTTACATGCTTATGTCTGTAATCTGAACAACTAACTTGAAGACAGCAATATGCAATGTCACAACCATTGTTAAATTCCTGTCATTTTGTTTAGACAAATAATGTATCATTTCTAATGTGTTTTTTTTCTTTTTACTATTTTTTATTCTTTCAAAAAAGAAAAAGCAGGGCTGGTGAGATAGTCCAGCAGACTAAGTGTTTGCTCAGGCAAGCACAGGGACTGGGAAGGGGATGTGATCCCTGGCACCCTATGCTGTGCCAGCCTTGCCCCCAGGCGCGTATTTCACTTGTGAGTATGGCCTCTAGTTAGATCCATACACCTATAAAAGCCTCAAGCTTGTCTTTCTTTATCGCTGAGCAATACTCCACTGTAAAAGCTGGCCCTTGAGTCCAGGAATGGTGGCTCAGGCCTGTAACCCCAGACCTGGGGAGCCTGAAACAGGAGGATCATTTATGAGTCTGAGCTGGGCAGACCCTGTACCAGATCCATAAAGAAGAAGAAAAAGGAAGAGGAGGAGGAGGAGGAGGAAGAGGAGGCAGAAGAAGAGGAAGAGGAGGAGGGTGAGGAGGAGGAAGAAGAGGAGGAGGAAGAGGAGGGTGAGGAGGAGGGGGAAGAAGAAGAGGAGGAAGAAGAGGAGAAGGAGGAAAAAGAGGAGGAGGAGGAGGAAGAAGAAGAGGAGGAGGAAGAGCATGAGGAAGAAGAGGAAGAGGAGGAGGAGGGTGAAGGGGAGGAAGAGGAAGAGGAGGTGGTGGAGGAGGAGGAGGTGGTGGAGATGGTGGTGATGGAGGAGGAAGAAAGCAATCTCAAAAAATAAAGAAAAGTAAATCAAAAGGCAGGGTTTTTTTTTAAACATTTTAAAGAAAATGTAATCATGTTCTTCAAAACTAAAACTGCGGTGAAAACAGTGTCCCTGTTTTATGCTTAGGCAGACGTTTTCCAGGCCTGTTCGCATGCAAGGAAGCCTGCTGAATTCCCACAGCTGCCCCTGTGCTCAGTCTGTTGGGCAGCAACAGAACCCGTAGCTGCTGGGAAATCCTGAGATTTCCTGAGAGAATCTCCGCGACCAAGACAAAAATGTTAATATTGTTCTAAAAGTCATCCTGGTCTCACGGCTCCCTTCGCAGAATGTTGCAGAACACCAGGCCTCCTCAGACCCCGTTTTGAGAATTGCCACGTGAAAGCGAGTCTGGAAGGAGGGAACGAGACCGAGCAGCGCAGCAGCGGCGCCGCAGCAGGACCGACGCCCCGACAGAGTGCGGAAAATGCTACGTCAGGAACAGAAGCCAATTCACAAATTTTGGGGGCCTGCCTCTTAGCTCAGTTCTTTACGTGGCTGCTTCAACAAAGCAGTCAGGCTCAGGTTGCTGTGGTTCGATCCCCACAACTCAAGCCAGCCAAACCTACCCTGAAGGCATTCATTCGGAGAAAAAAAAAAAAATCCTTAAAAAACAACGACAAAACAAAACAAAAAAAAAGTTTTTAAAAAAAGGGGCCAGAGAGATGGCTCAGTAGGATAAGCGCTTGACTGGCAAACGCAAGAATCTGAGTTCAATCCCCGGTTCTGCCAAAAAAAAAAAAAAGTTAATTCATAAGTTTCCTTGCTTCACCAGCTCCTTTCTTAGAGCATGACTACCCCCAAATACTAGCTGCTCTCATGTCTATTCTAAGGAACTATTTTATAACACCAAACACATTTAATCTATTTTTTTTCAGACATACCATCTCAGATGATCTAAAAATTGGCTTTTTCACCTCTGACCATGCTACCCAAACAGATGTCAGTGAGATTTTGCCATTAAAAGATTTGAGTTCAACTACACAAAACTTGGTGCAGGTAAATCTGGACTTATTTTGAAATTTCTATGAGAATTTTTAGCATTATTTGTCTTCATGTATTTTTCATTGACGGGGGGAATTGAGAAGATGAAAAACTTTAAAATATTAGCCTCTTTGACAAAGTAAGCAGAATGACGCTTGTAGTTTTAAAAATGAATGTAAGCTGTGATTTGTACTTATGTCATGCTTACATCTGTTCGTTTGTTTAGTAAAATGTTTGTTACTTTTTATGCTTTTGACATCTGTGTACTTTCTATTTGTGATGCTTTAAAACATTTATAGAATTTTTTGCATATGTGGAGAAAATGCAAAAAATAATAAATACAAAAACTGTGTTCCCTGTCATATAGCTTGTCAAATCTTGATATTTCCACATTTTGTTTGGGATGTTTGATTATCAAAGAACACAACCTTTTGCATACATCATATATCAAGAGTTGTTATTAAAAACCTTAATCAATAAAACTATTATATGAAGTAACATACCATTACAAATACTCCTATGTGCCTTGTTTTTATTTTCTTGCTTAGCATAATGTGAAAATCATTCTATATTGACACATACAGACTTTCCTCATTTATTTCATAAGTGCATCATGACATAAAATGTACATCATATATTTAGCTATGCCTCTGTTGATAGACATTTAAGTAGCTTCAGATCTTTTACTGCGATGAATAATCCTGCACATATTCATATGCCAGGAAATCTGTGGTGTAAATTCTTAAAAGTGACATTTCTGAGTCAGCGGATGTATGCATTAGTCATTTGAAGGATATTGCCAAATTGCCCTGCATAGAGATGGTACCAATTTATACTCCTGCTGGTAGCTTTTGAGGATGTCTCCTTCCTACACACTTGCTGATTTACTGTCTTCTTCTATAAAGACAATTTGCAGGAACCTTTTATAGTTTCATTCTCTTATACTGTGTCCATCAGCTAAGTTTTGATCATAGGATTGGGATGCAAAAATGTGTGGGGCCCTTGGGACGCTCCTCACAGGCATACTTCACACACGTTGGCTGCCCCGGCCTGCTCCTGCCCTTCTTCCCCCTTCCCACCTCTTTCCCTCCGTTGCCCCTTTCCTTATTCCCTCCATGAAGGCTTTGTCTGGTTCTAAAGACCCATGCTTAACACCACACTGAGAAGAAGTTTCCTGAAGACCTTACTCTCGGGATTCAACTCAGCAACATGGGTATTGACAGGGAGGAACTGTATTGAAACCATAGCTCTCGATTAGCTTGTCTTGTTCAGGCAGACTTGCTGCCCTTTGGAAATCCCAGCCCAAGGAGATGGAGCTCCTGGAATGCCTAATTACATCCCAGACTGAGAGGTAAACTTGGACAGGTACCAAGTTATGTGCCTTATTGTATACTTTTCAATTTTTAGATTATTACACACCTTCAGGTGGATTTTAGGTTCCTTGAAGAATTGGTTCAGTTGAAGTTTGAGGAACGACTTAAAGAAGAGTCTTCGAGTATCTTCAATGCTCTGTATGACAGGATCTTAGAAATGGAAAAGCACTACCAGCAGGTAGACATTCTCTGCTTCATTCTCATTTAAATGAGCACGGGTGCGCTTCCCTGTGCATGCACTGTGGTGTAGAATTCAGTGACTTAAGAGGGGAACTTAATTTGCATCTCACATAATAACTTATACTTACAGCTTTGTTTTGTGCCAGAACTTTTTTGTTTGCCTTTGTTTTTTGAGACATGGTCTCACACTGTGTAGCTGAGGCTGGCCTCGAACTCATGGTGATCTTCCTGTCTCAGACTCCCTAGTGCTGAGATTACAAGTACATGCCATCACATCCAGCCATGTGTACAAGACTTTTAAGAGTACCTTGTTTATGAACTCATTAGTCCTCATATCTACCTTCTAGAATTGGTATAATTATCTTTGTCTTTTACAGACAAGGATACTGAGCCACAGAAAGTTTACTTAACTTGTTCAAGGTTACCTGTTAAATAGCAGGGAGGAGGCTCAGGTTTCAGGCCAAGTAACTTGATACTTCAATTCTTGTTCTTAACCACCTCTCCCTCCCTCCCCCCAGTACTGATGACTGAGGCCTGTGACTTCAGACTCCCAATACCCACCACCCTTCTAAATTTGAGACAGGGTCACATTGGCTAAATTGCCCAAGCTTGGCTGGAACTTGGGATCCTCCTGCTTCAGCTTCCCAGAGCACTAGCATGTGACACCTGGTTTACCCACAACTCTGTATGATGTTATTTGTGTTTCAGTGGCTCTGTAGAAGCCGGGAAGTGAAAACTGGTGCTCCAAGGAATTTTCTAAAATTCTTGGTCAGAGTAGCTGATTTATCTGCTGCTAAGGTCAGGCATTGCTATTATTCCTGTGCTAGAAAGTAAGAAAACTCATATTTTGTTGATTACAACATACTAACAATGCTAAGTCTTTTGAAATAAATTCACCCTGTAGGCTGTTTGAGATCCTAAAATGGAAATCCTGTTAACCGTGATCTACAGACCAGGAAAGGGTTTGCCAAGGTTAGATAACTTAAGGAAGTCCAGATAATAAGGGACACAATGCTTAAATTCAATCCTTTCTTATTCAGCAGCCCATTTGCTGTTTATAGTTCTATCTTGGGCTAAGAACTGATATCAGATTCAAAGCACTTTTTCAAAAATGTACTGTCTCTCATTTTTTTTCCTACCTAAATAATCAAAGTATCTGATTGATCTGAGAATGACTCTAGTTTATAGATTGGCCACCCCAAAATTCTTTCATATACCTATCCCATCAAAGTTAAAGACCAAGGTTGGGATGTAGTTCACTGGCACAAACACCTGCCTGACTAGTTCAAGGTCTTGAGTTTGGTTGCCGGTACAATACACCATAAGATTAGAAGGAAATATGAACCACAAAAATATTCTGTTACTTGTTGTTGAGACAGGATCTCACTGTAGTCCAGGCTGGCTGGCCTTGAACTCACAATCCTCTTGCCTCAGCCTTAGCCTCAGATTTTGTTGCTGTTATATTTCAGGGAAGGCACTAAATTATTTAATCTGGTATATAAAAATGAAATTATCTATACTGCATTAATTTTATTGTTATTGGTTTTAGTCAGGTGTAAGCAAATTTAACTGTGCTATAATAGCTTAGTGTGGGAGAAATGACTATAAGGTGAAGTTCTGGAGAGATTACTATGATTTTGATGGTGGGTTTTCCAGAGTTCTTCCCTAGTACATGTGAGCTGTATTTGGAAGCATGCTGTCATGCTTACTGTATTTATTTTTGGTTTGCAGAATGAGGATAAGATGAGAAAATCCTTTCAGCAGCAGCTAGCTGATGCCATCGCTGTCATCAAAGGAATGTACCAGGTGGGTTTGGGACTGGACAGCAAGGCTGCTCCCCTCCTGTGTATGCACCCGGCTGCTCGCTGTGAGTGCCAAGTCCTTCCCTGTCCCTTCAAAGTCTGCTTTCTTGATTTTTAGGTTATCTCACAGGATTCAAATCTACCACTGCTCACACTCAGATTAAATTTACTGCAGTGACACTCTACAGAGATAACTCTCCAGAGAGTGGAAAACTCCAGCCTGGTCTCCAGGCTACCCAGGCAGAACCAAAGGAGCGCATAGTTTGTCTGGTGCAGATGCAGGGGGTTAGCTGGTCAGAGGCTCTTCAGTGGTGGCAGGCTCATAGCAACTCCAGGCAAGAGTTTCTTCTCACACCCTGCAGGGAGAGACGTTTCCAGGAAAAAGGATGGAGAACTTCCCTCTTACACAGTGGAAAAGTTCATGTTTTCCACTATACCGTAAGACCAGAAGGAGTTTTTGAGACTTCATGGAGACAGACTTTAGGCTTCTTTTACTATTTGTAAATACAGCCCCACCTTTCATTTCAGCATGCTTCTATCAATAAATGTTTTGTATCTGTAGCTAACCATCCTCTAATTGCATACCTATTTTTGTAACACCTAGCTGGATTATATTTAACAAATTTGTGATTTTTATACATTTCTGTTCTGTGCCACTCGTACACCTTATGAAGGTAGGGATGTTGTGTGACTTTCTCACTGTTGTGGCCCTGCATCGAAGCCCTGTGTGTGGTACACCATTTAACCATCAGCAAATAGCTGCTGAGTGAATGAATATCCATCCTGTCCCTGAGGCTGATACTGGTGCGGCCTGCATGACAGTCCTTGACCCCAGCTGCGCATCTTTGCTCTTGCTTTCTCACTAACGGGAACATTTCTGATTTTGCAGAAGCAAACATATTAGACACTTTTCTTTCTAGCTATGGCAAGGCCATGGGCAATGTCAGGTCCTCTGGGTCAGCAGGCTGTTGGGGAGAAGTGGTTCTTCCTAATTCAAAGGAAGTCATGGGAGGAGGCATCATTTTTTCTTCTTTGATATTGCTTTGTCTCCTCCCGGTGACTGGAATTGCTGCAGCCAGCCAGAAACCAAGGTTGGCAGTCCTGTGGTTTGTGCTGAGGGGGCCAAGGGGAATGGTGGAAAGCTGTGGCTCTTGGTGGCATCACTGACCAACTAGAGTAGCTCAGGATTTGCTCTGCCTCTTGCCCTTTTATTTCAGAAGAAATTTTCTTTTCTTTTTCTTTTCTTTTCTTTTTTTTTTCTTTTGAGACAGTGTCTCCCTATGTAGTTCAGACTGGTGTTGAGCTCACTTTGTAGCTCAGGCTGGTCTCAAATTTATAACTATCCTCCCACCCAGCCTCCTGCTGGGATTACAGGCATGTGCCACCATGCCCCGTTCATCGGAGAATATGTTTTGAGTAGTGTTAAAGGCACTGTTAATTGGCTGCTCAGTTACTTGTAGCTGAAAATATTCTGGGCCCAATTATCTGTCAACAATCTTCATGACCATGGCAAAATGGGTTTCCAAAGGCAGCGGGAGCAGAGTGCCTCACACGCCTTGCTCCTCTCTTTCCGGCTCCATCTGATTCTCCTCCGTTCCCTTTAGTTGGAGCTGGCCTTTGTGGCCAGCTGATAAGGCTGGTATGTGAGGAAGCCAAGGCCAGGTGACAATAAGCCTCGTCTCCCAGCACCTCCAGCTTCGGGCCTCGTCCTCACTGAGTCCAGCCGCTCTATTGAGTCCTAAGCCCCATGCAAGGGCTATTTGGTACGGGGGCTCCTTTCTCCTGAAGCTTCCAAAATGGCTCTGCCAAGCAGTCAATTAAAACATTTCCATGTGAGGTTACAGGCCATATGGAGCAGAGGCAAGATATCCCTGCCCTTGCTGCCCAATTCCTTTACTCACAGCATTCGTGACCACAGTGAATGGTGTACTTATATTTGGGGAGCTGTGCTATTCAATAACAGCTAGAACAGTGTCCACACACATCAGCGGGCCTTCTCTCAGTTCCATTTGTTGGGCAGATTGCTTTTCTAAAGGTTTTCTGCTAGCACAGAGTAGTGGTGACATGATTAAGTGCAGCACAGTGTGGGAGGAAGGACCTAGAGTCACATGACTCTGGCTTGGCGCCCTGGCTCTGTCCTGCAATAACTGTGTGACCTTGGACAGAGTACCTGCTATCTCTGCCTTGGTGGGTTTCTTCTGCTGTCAAACAAGGACTGTAACAGTACCCACCTCCCATGCAGGTCCTGAGGATAAAATGAATTGATCTTTCTGAAGCAATGAGAAGAACACCTTCACATTTTTATGGTGCTCTTTGGTTTTGGAGTCTTTGTCTGCCTCATTATTATTTTAGTATTTAGGATTATAGGCTCTGTCTCTTGATTACAGATACATAAAAGTACCCTAAGATATCTATAATCATCATCAGTATTTACTGTGTTGAACCATATGAAATTTTCATTTTTGGCACCAAAAAAGGTAAGATATCAGTCATTCCATATGGTTACACCTAATAGGTTTTAAAAATATATAGATATTTTGACAAAAGACAACAACAAACTGCATGAAATATAGGTGAAGACAGGCAAATGTATTTTTTATTTAACCAGCACTCACCAAGTGAGTACTCGGCGCTAAACTGTGCTGCACGCTTGGTTTGTGGTGATGCAGTGGGGACAAACAGACAAGAGTATAAGCCAGGGCATGGTTGGCAGATGCCGGGCTAAATGCACAGACCTGGTTTATGTGACACCGTGGAGGACCAGTTATTTCTGCTGATGCTTTGTGGGAAACCTTCGCTAAGGAGGAGGTACTTGTGCTGGATTTAGAATTCAGTGCTCAGGTGATGGACAAGAAATCGAAAGAGCAGTTTAGTGCATGTCAGAATAGTTTTGGTGGCAAGTGAGAGAAATCTAATTCACACTGTCACTAGCTAAAAGGAGATTACATGGCATGTGTAACTAAAAAGAGTAGTGGTGGCACTTCAGGAAAAGTTGGGTCTGGTGTGCAAGTCATTAAGAAATTGTTCATCCCAAGTCTACCTTCTCTGATGATTTAATTTCGAAAAATATTTTCACACGAGGGTAGACTTGGAGAGAATATGTCTTTCTAAATAGATCCTACAAGGTCAAAGACTGACCCAGAATGACCCACCCTGGGCAGTTGGGCCAGTCCAGAGTTGCATATTCATCCCTGGTTGTTAGCCGAATGGAAGAGAGATCATGTGATCTGAAGAGGAGATACTGGTCAGGCAAAACTTTTAGGGAAAATAGCTTCCCACTTCCCATATCAAGTGATGGGAAAAATCAGACCTGCTCAGCAAACTGCCTGTGGTCTAAGCAGTGAAGTTTGCATATGGCAACCACCAGCCATAGGTGGTTCCTGCAGGGGAAATTACAGGGAAATTAACTCTTTGGTGACAACTCTCCAATTCTTTTGTAGTCAGAGCCCCAGCTATGACTGTACGAGGCTTTAGCAGGACATCTAGCAACAGACCACAATAGTATTCTTTGCTTTCTTCTCTGGATTTCCTGTTTACAATGTGAGGGCAATTCAGAATTCCATGATTCAGGGCCAGTCTGATAGCTCAGTGGACTAAAGTGTCTGCTTGGGCAGAGAGCAGTGGCCTGGATTCGATCCCTGGTGTGCTGTGCTGGCCCTGCCCACAGGGTGCACTGAGATGGCTCCTGAGACTGGACATGGTGATGCGCTCCTCTAATCCCAGCGCTTGGGAGGCTGAAAACAGGAGAATCACTGTGAGTCCAATTTGTGTAGTAAGACCCTGTAGACCCTGTCATAAGTGCAGAAAGAAAAAAAAAAAAGAATTCCATGATTGATTAAAACATGCTTTATAATCTTCTGGGTCTTCAGTAATATCTTGGACACTGATATGATTCTAATGTTTATCAAATGTTTAAAAAAGTCTGAATAATGAATATCATACTTTAGACTATTTCTGTTTCTATAAGTAGAGATACCTGAAAAGATTAAACTTCATAATTCATTGTTTTGTTATTAACCTTGCTAATTCTATGTTTAGCAGAAAGTATATTAATTGTGGTTAGCAGCCTTATCTGATTAAAAGTTTATATTCAATTAATTATTTGAATCTTCACTTTGGTTTGTAAGCACCGCTTTGACCCATGGCCTGACAAGGCCTTCCTAATCTTGCCCACCCACATTGTGAAGACTTATTACAGGACAGAACAGAAAGACTAAAATACCACCCAAGTACGCACTGCGAGCAGAGGACATGTGTGAGTGACTCTCTGCTGCCCTCCAGAGACCAGTGAAGGATAGAGGTACTTTTTTTCACAGCTGAAAGAAAACATTTCTTACATCTTCCTTAGCTATTTTTGGTTTTTGAAATGTATCAGCCAGGGGAGCCAGGGAGATAGCTCAGTAGAATAAGTGCTTGCCTGGCAAGCACAGGGTCTTGAGTTGAATCCAGAGAGAGAGAGAGAGAGAGAGAGAGAGAGAGAGAGAGAGAGAGAGAGAGAGAGAGAGAGAGAAATATGTGTGCCTGAAATGTATCAGCCAAGATTCAGACTTTCAAAAAAAGAAATTGGAAGAAAGAAATTCATCGGGTGGGATCTGACAAACTCCCCCAAAGAGGAGAAGGGGACCTCAACCACAGTGCATAGAGACATCTTGACTCACCACAGAAAATGAGTAGAAATCCAGGCCTGGTGGTGCGCACCGTGCTAATCCCAGCACTCAAAAGCTGAGGCAGGAGCATCATCAGTTCAAGCCCATTCTAGATAATTTAGAAATTTTAGAATATCTTGTCTCACAAAATCAAAAAAGGAGAGAAAGCAATTAGGACTCATCAGTGTGGCCATGGGTAGGTTTATTAGGCAGATTTAGCTACGAAGTGATAAAGAAATGGTAGACCCAGCTTGAGATGCTGAAGCTTGATACAGGCTTCCAAAAGCACAGGCCATCTGGTAAGGATTAGCCGAGGTGGGCCAGGTTTCGGTCGACTGTTCTCTTGGCACTGGGCTTC